AAAACCCAGACACCTAAGAAAACCCAGACACCTAAGAAAACCCAGACACCTAAGAAAACCCAGACACCTAAGAAAAGAAAACCCAGACACCTAAGAAAACCCAGACACCTAAGAAAACCCAGACACCTAAGAAAACCCAGACACCTAAGAAAACCCAGACACCTAAGAAACCCAGACACCTAAGAAAACCCAGACACCTAAGAAAACCCAGACACCTAAGAAAACCCAGACACCTAAGAAAACCCAGACACCTAAGAAAACCCAGACACCTAAGAAAACCCAGACACCTAAGAAAACCCAGACACCTAAGAAAACCCAGACACCTAAGAAAACCCAGACACCTAAGAAAACCCAGACACCTAAGAAAACCCAGACACCTAAGAAAACCCAGACACCTAAGAAAACCCAGACACCTAAGAAAACCCAGACACCTAAGAAAACCCAGACACCTAAGAAAACCCAGACACCTAAGAAAACCCAGACACCTAAGAAAACCCAGACTTGGATGACAGCTTTTGAGCCTTGCCTTCTCTTGCAACTTCAGCGTTGATAGACTCGACAGTTTTGTTCAACCAATCGTCTGCATTGACTATAGTGTCAAAGTAATTGGTACTGACGACCTTTTCTGTAGAATCAATGACTTTAACGCAAATTCGATAGTCCGATTCCCCGGGACCGAGATACTCATATGTATCCGGGCGAGAATATTTATCTTACCATGCGCTGTAATGGGAGTAAACTTCCGGGGAGGTAATATCCCGCATACTCATTTTAAATGCTTTTCTTGAAGAGGAGGATAATCCCCCTATTTATATGTGCTTCGCGTTTTGGTTCTTGAGAGCAATAGAGTGTTGAATCCAGGAGTGTGTATGACACTTTAACTCTTTTGCCATATGGGATCCGCTCCCTTTGCACATACGTCATATTACTACTCTTGGTGGACCGTTAAGGCAAGAATAGTTGCCAGGCTACCTGGGGTCTTACCTCGAGGGATCTTAGTTTAGGAAAATGAACAAATCATTGTTGTTACCCTCACTTAATCTATATCATGCTTAGGGTATAGAAAGAATTAGCTGTAAGGAAACAAATGTGGCGCCATGAGTATATGTACTTAGAGGTTCTTCGGTAGTGGACCGTTGTTGCATCCATGGGCGCTCTTAACTATACATGTGATAATTGCACCTCTCTTCATCACAATCCTGTTTTGCCCTTCAATATTGCTCATTCACTTTCAAGATATCCATTTGTCGTAAACACTTAGCTACCTTTTCATCAAACATTTTCACCACTATTCCGAAAGATGCTTCGCACAGCATATCCAGAGCTCATAGCGAAGAAAACCTCGATATGGTACCCAGCGTTTTCATCGGCACTAAAGAAGCTGTACAGTTTTAGACCATATCTAGCAGATAATAATAAATAATTTTTTGAATAATTTTGAGTTATTGTGGTACGGCTACAATTTGGTTTAATTGAAAACCTACAGTATGTCTGTGGTATAACCGCGATTTACTCACATCGTAGCAAAATCAACTAATTTAAACACACTGTTAAAAATCAAAAACACAGTAAAAAATGAATAATGTGTCATATTTAAATTCTTCTTGCTTCTACCAAAGAAATTCATGTTTTCTTGCCACAAAATATCGCCGGTGTGGACCCTAAGCGGCATTTCTGAATATCTGCAAAATTCGAAGACGCGTCGCATGCTTGAAAAGTAGTCTTCAGATGGGTCAACACCAGTGGACAAAACTAAAAATCGCATTACTAGATTATGAGAGCCCTTGAGTCCGTTTCTCTTTCTTCTATCGTCACTGTAACGCGTTCTGCCCTACTTCAACTCCTCTTCAGCCCGATTCAAAGTACTCCCTACGGATGAAATCTTTTTTAAAAAAATGGGTCGTCCATTCCGTGGGTGCCAATGTCCACTTTTTTTTGTCCTTTTTTCTTCTGGCTATTGCTCCATCAAAAATCCTTTGAAAACAAGGACAGCAAAGCAAAGCAGGCCAAGAAGAGTTCATACCGCTAGACATCTTCGTAGCTACAATAGAACATTGGCGAAAAGCAGTCAATTGAGAAACTATCAACAGCTATATAGTCTTTCCTAGCGACCATCGACGCATTGTCTGACAATAGGTCCATCTTCGACTGTACGTTGCAAAAGACATGCTAAACCGCCATCACAATCGGAATGGGAGCCACATGGTCCACCAGCACCAACAGCGAGTACAGCAGAAACAGAAAGTGCAATGTATGTAATAACAGTTTTAAAGAGCATATTTTGAAAGCTTGTTAATGGTGGTTGAGTAGAAGACTTCTGCGCCCTATTTATATTGTCTACAGTGTCTCCCTTATCTGGCCAAGGGATAACTTGCGCAATCCGGTGAGAAATGGAGAGCAGTTTTAAACGAAGTTCTCTTCCAGCCTGCAGCTGTGCCGCCAAATCCTTCCCTTTCTATGATTCATAATTCACGGTTTAATGCAGCATCGGGATGGACCTCTAAGTGATGTTTTGTGTATCTGTCTTTCAGTAAATGCTAATGAAAAGATATCTTAACCAGACAATCGTGTAGTAGGCATTATTTTTTTTGATAAATATTTGCGCCTCTCTTCTTTATCTAAAAATAAAAGCATCAAGTTTCCGTATTGACGACTTGATATCAATGCGTGGCGCCTCAAACGGACTTTTTTTGTACATCCTTGACACGTCATATCACCCAAGCGACGTTAAAATAATTGCACTACCAAAGAAAATGCGCTTACAATTAGGGGATAATGTTCGCCAATCACTTTCTTGCCTTTCCATACAATCTCTACCAAAGCCATTCGTCATCCAATCGTACATTCAAATCTAAGATGAAGTGACTTGTATTTTAATTTATTCATGGATCTCTAATATCCTTTATGTACTGGTCGAAGTTGTTCACAATCCTGCTCTTCGCACATTTGAAGAAATCGTCTGGTTTAAGCTGCTCTGGGTCATAAACCTTCGACAAAGGAACAACTTTATAGTCGTTGACATCTCTGATCACCACATCATACTGGTTCAAGTTATTCTTCGTAACGTACCTGTCGTTTAGTTTTCCTACAACAGCTACCTCCTCTCCAGATTCAGTGAACACTGTGATAATATACTCATTCTGGCTCACCCTGAAAACACACAGTTTCGTATCCAAATATGTCACTTCATCGTATGATGCAATTGTGTCATCAATATAGGAGAACTTGACAAAAACTTCCCCTTTCTCGCCAAACGTGTACAATTTTCGGTTAAAAACTGAAACATTGGGGTATACATTCACTTCTGGAATATGCTTCTTATTGAGATGGACCAACCATCCGTCTTCCCAGGAACTCATGACGGTCGAACAAAATCTAATAGGATTTGGGGCTTTATATAAAACAGAGCCGCTCCACACGCGCGTTTAGTGAAGGCTTTCAATCCTTATCGACAACCGTGACTATTGGGATGGGATATTGTGAAAAACTGAAAAACACAACAATGTAAAACCTATGACTCCTTTCAGATCCTAAGTATCTTTGACGTCCGGTTGGCTCGTAGAAAAAGCCTCAATGACTGAGGATGTCTATCAAAGGTGTTGCAGCCGCTCAACCAACAGGCTACTCGTGTGAGCCGCACTTTTAACCAATGGAATGGTGCGTCACTATTTATTTTATCGGCTGTGGATTACATATCTTTCATTCCTCAGTGAACTATGCAGTAAGTGCTCGGAGACTATCTAAAATTCCCGAATAGTAAGGAAAGTGGTCTATCTTGTGCCAAATTAAGATTTCTAAAACGAACATATGGCAAGCAAATTAGCAGATGCTAGATGCTGTAAGTTTAAGAGGCTCGGATTTGTAGTTTTAGCCAAATCTGGTCATGATCGAAGGAGGAAACCATTTCTGACGTGTGGCAAAGCGCAAAATGGTCGGCACATTGGGTTGTAGTAGTGCCGTCAACCGTGCGGCTCCGATAACGTCTACATAAGCGAACCACACGCACGAATTAAGCGACATATTTTGTCTCGCTTACTCACTAACAATTAAAAATGGTCGTAACCCCTTTCGAAACCTATGAATAGTACAATGAGATTCTCAGGACGCTGGGAGCCAAACCTATGCTCGTCCTTTTTTCTGGTATCGGATGTGGGCCCTGCGATAATGTGGCTCCTTACTTCGAGAAGTTATCTGAGGTGTACGGCTTTGACTTCTACAAAACCGAGCGTTCCATGAGCAAACTAGACGATATTTTCAAGACGGAAACGCCCCACATCATTGCATTTCCTACTTTTGGATTCTTCAGGTTTGGTATGGAGTTGGGGAAGGTTGTTGGAGACAGCCCTGAGCAGCTCAAGGAGTGGATCGAACTTAGCATCAAGTATAAAGGCGACTGATAAACTTACTGTTGACATGCTTTTATAGTTGTTGATATATAGACTAATCGAAGAATCAATTTACCTATTCAGTGGTTGGGAGTAGTTCGACAATTGCAGCAATCCGTTCTTGACCCCGTATTGTTTGTAACTCCTGTGACCCAAGCGATAAAGCAGATTTTTCTAGGAAGATTTCCGATCCGGGGGTGCGGGGTGTTCAGAAGAACCCGTACGAATCTCCTGTCTTACTTTCTCGAAACTCTTCTTTACCCTCAGAAATGAGCACTCCACGAGGTCATCGAATGTCACGCCGTTTTTTTCACCTATGACTGATAGGTGCACAATTTCATAGTCTTCTGGGTTTCTGATCTCCACATCATAGGCTCTGATATGGTTTTTTTTTAGATATCTTTCGCCAAGCTGTCCAAGAACTGCCACTTGTGGCTTTTCTCCAGGAACTCTGTTTGTTAGGATCACAATGTAGTCTTCCTCGCTTACTCTATAGATACATGTATTTGTGTCATAGTAGGCAAGATCATCATAGCTATCAAGGTACGCGTCATAGAACGAGAACTTGATATAAGCTTCCTCATTAGACCCAAAAGTGTACAACCTTCGATTAAAAATAGTTATATTGGGCCAAACGTTTACATCGGGAACTATTTTCTTTGTGGTCTTCACCAACCACTTATCTTCCCAAGTGCTCATTTTAACCTCGATGTCTTGTTAGAAATTGTAGAGGACTCTGAATCAACAATGACAAAAAAGATCCATTTGACACTTTTTGAAAGGGGGCCATACCATTTATATCTATAGATTAGCGAGGCACGTCATGCCATGGAGTGGTATGTAATGACACTCGCACAATGCCACACTTTAACACAACAAATGCAAGATGTTGAAGTAAAGCAACAGTAGCAACGCAAGAAATAACTATCGAGATTGGAGAATGAAGCGTGGATAAGGCCCTCACGCATTGAGTAGAAAGAGACGGTCTTTGAAGGTTCGAGTGTTGACTTGTTATCTCTGTATGGAGTGCAATGATATGCTTTAAGGGATGTGCATCTCTTATGATAAGCATGCATGTGTCAAACTTGGTCACAAACAGATACGCCGACTGCTCTTCATTCAAACTATTTTTTCCAAATGTGAGATTATCTGATGGACCCAACAGGATCTAGGGGCTTATACTCGGCTCCACTTGTAATTGATACGCCACGCAATCGACAAGCCGCAGAATTGACAGGTTCCGCGATATGTATGCTCGCCTGTAACTACATTGACAGATAAGTCAGTCATTCGCACAGTGCCACACTTCACTTATAGCACATGCAAGACTTTCTTGTCAAAAGGCAGGTGAGCATTGCAGCTACGCTACTTGGGTTTTTTTTAGTTCTGGGATGTTCATTTTCGGAGCCACAGTGTTCGCCAACAAGTACACAAGAGAAGCCGGAGTTTAAAAGTACCGTCGGTCCACAAACATAGTAAAATGCCATGAACCTCCATTTGTTGAAATTCACAACTTCTTTAAACAACATATATCAAGTTTTTAAATAGCCAGAAACTTAAGGAAAGACAGAGCCCGTTCCGCTTTTTTCGTGCGATGTTGTCCGTCGTACTTTCGCCTATACTACCAGGTTTACGTGTTTGACGCCATAAGTAAGATGAGCAAAGAAGAAAACACACTTTCTTACAACTACGATAACGTGGGATATTATTAAATTAGAGTTGTATCCCCAGATCAAATCCCTTTAAAACTTTTTGCACTTTAGTTCAAGTTTCGAGCAGTGGTGATGGTCAGAAGAGAAGCCAAGCGACGCGTCTCAAAGAACTAGGCCACTCGTCATATTCCTAAAAAAATGACATTCTTATAGTTTTTGCTCTGTTTATTCATAGTGGCTGATTATTTATGAACACATTTATTTCTTAATTCACAATATTTTCAGTTTTTTAAAATTGCGAGTATTTGTTTTGCCACGTTACTGCGATTCTCAAAGACTAACATAAATATGCAAATTAAAATCGCCACCAAAAATCGAAATCTCACTAAATTTATAGATAAACAAATGGATACAAATCCTAAACTGTCAAAAAAGATCCTCTGAGTTTTTTAGCATTTTCGGTTGGCTATATGTGCTGGTTCCCTGTCGTTGCTGTAAATGCGATTCTCACCTTAATGAATTTCCAAGTTAAGGGGCAGTTACGGAAAGCAAAGAAAATAATTCAGCTACAAGAAACTAAATCAATTACAGTAAGAAACATCTTATGGTCAGAAATACGATGGCTGAGGTCAATTGTTCTCTTTATTTTATTTGTTTTTTCTTTCGCATAGGGAAGAAATCTGAATAACAGTATGTTGAGAATACAATTTTACACCAAAATAGCAGCATTTATTAAAAGAGAAAGAGAGTTTCAACGTTGTTTTTGATACTTAGAAGGGTCACTTATGGTGAACGAGAGACATATTTTTACATCTAACGCTCGCATTTAATGACATGGCAAGAGGCAAAAGCCGTGAGATAGAAGTACCAGATGTTTCTTCTTGAAAAAAATATTTTGAAAAAGAATGTGAGAAGTTTTAATGAAGAAGCTCGAGAAAAAAATGGGTACGCCATTTCTGAACAGCTGTGCTACTTCCTCACTCGTATAATTTTTATTCGTCTCCACAGCTTGCTTCTCTGAAAACTTTATCGGGAAATTCGCTTGAAAAATGACCGCCTCGTTTCAGCCACGCCTCTTTAGAAGCATTGGCGACCAATAGAATAAAGACCTAGCATATTCGCTGCATAAATCTGACGCAAGATTACATCGCGATGACATTGCGATGGCATCGCGCATAACGAGCAATTCACTCTTGACAGTCTACATAAGATGAGGTGCCTCCATTATTTTGCGAATTTCTTGTTAAAAAAATAATGAGGATTTTTCTCTGGCCGGCTATAGTGCTTGCTGCTCTACAACTTGATCTTTCGTTAAACAATGGGAATACCGGACACGACAGGGTTATTGATATTGTCAAGAGAGACGAGCCAGCAATGAGGATAGACAATGGCCCAGTATATTTAACCACCAACATCAGTGTCAACGGCACAGACTTTGGAGTTATTATCGACACAAGATTCCGTGATACTTGGGTGCCTAGTGGAAAATGCCAAGCACAAGACGATTCCTATGAGGAACGAGCACTCTACTCGATGCAGAAAGAATACTATAAAACATTGACAAGGCCATCCACAACACTAGATAATTATGACAGCTTTATTCCTCAAGGGTTTGCAACACCAACAAGTTATTACACTACGATGACCATAAATGGACAGTATGTGGACGACTCAACGACCATAACGTACACCGCCAGGGAAATGTTAAGAAGCACCAGCGGTGATGATATCTCTGTCTGTACAAAGCATGGCGCATATCTTGATGGTGGTGAGGAGCAAGACTCTTTTATTCGAGAACTGAACGATCGAGGCAAAGAAAGTGGAAGTTTCTTGTCGGCAGATGTAACAGTTGCCGGTCATGAGATTGAAAATCATACTATTGGATTAATTTTTTCTTCCAGCCTGGAATATGGAACTTTAGGTCTAGGCCTTGGCAGAGAGCTTACATCAGAATCTAACGTCCAGAACTCCATCCTCCAAGGTTTCAAAGAAGATGGCGTCATTCAAAAAATGGCGTACTCCTTGTCTTTGGGTGATAACCAACTGTCAATCCTATTTGGAGCAGTTGACCATTCCAAATACACGGGGGAGCTTCAAAAGGTTCAGATGCTCAACCGTTGGAAAAAGTACAACATATCTAATGTTCCTCTTCGGTTTGAAGTTGCACTTGACTCACTCTCGGGAACAGACTTGTCAGCTGATGAAAGGATCATAGTGGAGCTTGGAAACAGCCAATATGTGAACTACTTACCGGAACCCTACTTTTCCAAGATGGGTAAGTTCCTCAATGGTAAATTGAATATCTTCAACTACTGGGACGTTTCATGCGACCATTTGAAGCTGGACGAGACCTTCACCTTCAGCTTTAGTGGCAAGAAAATTAAAGCACCGGTGAAAGACTTTGTGATATCCTCAAAGTCTGGCGATGTATGTTTCCTAGCAGTTCAAGAAGAGTCTGTTACGCCAAGTTTGGGTTACAGTTTTCTCAAAAGTGCCTACACCGTGTACCATTTAGAAGAGCTCGAAATTGCATTGGCCCAAGTAGAAACGGGAACGACCAGCAAGGAGATTGAGGAGATTGAAGATGAGATCCCCAAAGCAGTTCGTGCAAGTGGATACAACAACACTTCTCTTGACTACCACATGCTGAAGTACGATGAAGGCTTTGTCTCTACGGTAGCTGATAATCCCAGAACTGTCTCTGTTACAACTACAGAAGACGAAAGCTCTGGAAGCCATCGCCAGACTACCCAATCATCCGGAATAGGTTCCCTGTCAAGCGGTGGCTCCCTTGGAGAAATCTCATCACTGACAAAGGATTTATCACCATCTCAACCAGTCGGTAGTCTTCTTGCAGTGCTCAGTTTCCTCATCTCTTTGATATGCCTTTGAATATAGAAAGAAATGAACTGAAAGTTGCAAGGTTATGTACGGACAATCAAAAAGTCGTTTCAGACTGCTCCAGTGGACTATACAACTATACAGTTAGATAAAAAGTATACAATTACGATATAAAACCAGTTCTTACTGATGAATGCAGCCATTACTTCGTTTGGTATACACTGAGGTTAGGAATTATCGTATGTCATTCCAAGGCTCAAATAGGCAAGACGATCAAACATCAAACATTGATTGGTACTCCCAAACTGGGAAGCATATGAGACCGCCAAGTAAAGACCAGAGGAGAAAATATTCTTCAAGAAATGAATATATAAGGGCGCCCATTTCCTGACTTTATTCCACATCATCAATCAAAAATGGCCGCTCAAACTACTCAGAACAAGAACAACACTCCAAAGGACAACAACTTGAACAAGCACGCTGGACGTGGTGCCGTTCCTTTCATGTGTACTATCGTTTAGATCAATACATACGATTTACTTTAAATTCAAACTTGTAAGCTAGCCGATGAATGGGTTTCATTTCTTCGATGCATCCATCCATGAGAAGAACCGGACGGAATCAGTAAAAATACAATTAGGGAAACTAAAATTTACCTTAATAAAGAGAGTCTGGGGCCTGGATTCATCTTGTTCAATCAATTCGGTTGACAACGGAGCGGGTACCTCGACAAATAACCTCTATTCGTGTTTGAAAGTTGGTGGGGATAAAGGCTCGTAGTTGTCATTGTACAAGTTGTCGTTAGGTGGTAGTCTGGAATGGATGTTCCTCAAGTCCAAGTGTTGCGGGCCGAGGTCTGATATTTTTGTAACACCCAAGAGCTTCATGTCCAATATCATCTCCGACCTCAACAAGTCTATGGCTTTTCTAACACCTTGTTCACCATAGCAAGAGTTGGCATAAAGAAAAATTCTACCCAAACCAACACCCTTGGCACCCAAGGCCAAACACTTGATGATATCAGACCCACGCCTGACTCCTCCATCCACAAAAATGTCAATCTTGCCATCCAAACCCTTCTCCTTGAGAACAGGCATGGCGTCTGCCAAAACCTCAACTGGGGCACGGGAGTAGTCCAACTGGCGACCACCGTGGTTAGAAAGCACCACCGTCTTAAATCCTTTTTCAGCTGCCAAGACAATATCATCAACGCTCTGTACGCCCTTAATAGCCACTGGAATTTGAGTCCCTGAAGCAATGTTCTCAACGTCCTTCCATGTCACAGAGTTATCTTTACTATAACTAACGGTAGAATCTAGGTCTGGCTCTCCAGAGGAATCATCCAGGATACCAGCATTTGCGTGGATATGAGCTCGAAGTTTCATATCCTTTTCTCTGTGGCCAGCTTTTGGGGTATCAACGGTGACGAAGATTCCCTTGAGGCCAAGCTCTTCACACTCTGACACGAACTGTTTCGAAGTAGACTGATTTTCAAAATATAACTGAAACCATTGGGGCTGGTCCTTTTCTGCGGCATCAACAATATCGGCTAAAGGATAAGACGAATAGTTTGAGATCATCTGTATGACACCTTCTTTCCCACATCCCCTTGCAATCGAACATTCTCCATCAGGATGACCCAACTTACCTTGTGCAGTGGCCGAAGAGTAGAACGGCACGGCGGCAGGCAGACCCATCAAGGTAGTTGATAAGTCAACATTACTGATATCAACAAGCACGCGAGGTTTGAAGAATATCCTCGAAAATGCATTGTGGTTCTCTCTGAGCGCAACTTCGTCATCTGCGCCACTCGAGTAGTAGTACCATGCTGAAGGCGGAAGGATTTTCCTAGCGATATATTCAAAGTCACTAACACGGAAGATTTCAGAGATTGGCGGCATGTTATCACTGTACTCTTGTCTCAGTTCGCTATCACCCACCTCGGTAATGTCTATTTCCGGCTCCAACTCGCCTATCAAAGGACCCAAGTACTCCTCAGGCGTCAAATACTGGTCCACGAAGTTAGGAGCATGAAACTTGTTGAAAATGGTAGATGCATTTTTACCTGCGTATTTTAATATGATTGCCGCTCCTCCCGGGTGTCTTGTCAAGAAATCTGTCAAGTCATAGACCTTGCCGTTAATAGCGACCCAGACGCTTTCTGCAGACTTATGTTTTTGCAACTCTTCGACCGTAACGCCTTTTCGTTCCTCCAAGGCCAAAGCAACAGGGATTGAGTTCCAAGTCACTGCAGCAGCAGATAGCAAAAATGCCGAGATAAGTGGAAGTTTCCAGTTCGTGGGCTTCACTCTGGTAGCACCCACTTGACTAGAAGCAAGTCTTCGAGCATTGACGCCCTTTACCACTTTTCGGGAACAACGTGCAAACGGTACTCTTCTAAACATGGATCTCTTCTCCACAACAGCGCCTCAACAGACTTTCGAGCTTTATATGCTGCCAGTGTCAATTCTTCAATAACCACTGTATCGTGGGGGTGGGGCGAATCAGCGCCCTCTTATATCTAATGGTGGAGCATGGCGGTTAAATATGACACTACTGAAGCCGTTCCAACAGCAAACCATATACTCGTGGCTAACGATTGGCTAGTGATAGAATGCAAAGAATATGCGGGTAAGAGACACTTTTCTTGCTTGCTATAAAAAACCTTCTTTGAGATGGTTACTAGTGGACTGGCCTCGGCGAGTTGTCAAAAAAGCCGGGTTTTCCGATTTGCTTCTGCAGGGTCGGTTAAAATTTGTTGCGGTTGGTGTGGCTGCAAAACTGGTGATGGGAGAACATTGCTTACTTGAATTTTCTATGGCTCAGCTCATTGATAAACTTTAAAAGAATAATAATTGTGACCAAGGTTTTCATTGCTGATGAATTAAGCTTTTAGTGTTTCACAATGTCACAAGGCCTCTGGGATCGAGTGAATGCCAAGTTTACCAGACCAACTGAATTAAAGGTTGTAGTACCTAACATTTTCACATTGACCAATTATGGAACCTATTCCCTTGATAAATTATTATTATGTATTCTGAAGCAGTGAATATGTCTTGATTATGTTCTTACCATTACCTGGGTCAGTGAAAATTGAAAAGAACGCACCGTCGAGCTAAACGCCGACATGTCGCTTGCTAAAAGTTTATCCGAGCTCAACGGTCTTCACGTATTCCGACATGCCGCTTTTAACCGAGCTAGCTGTTTCTGTACGGTATACTTCTCTCAATGTATGCTTTCTTATCTTGATCCTTCAAGCCTCCTCGTTGAGAACCTTCTAAATCGTGCCTGGAAGAATAGCATTACATCTAATACCGTATAAAGCACAAACACCTCACACATGGCAGTTCATATTGCACGGTATGTATTAAACTATACACTATAAATGGGTATCAAAGGCTTACTCGTCGCCACCCAAGGCAGCGAAAATGTTCGATGCCATGAAACCTGTTCCCTTGGCCCTCTTTCTTGGAGGCAGGCGGGATGCACCAGAGTCTGTGGTACGTCTGTTAGACTTGGGCATGGTTTGGAAATCTCTTGATTCCCTGGTAGGTGCTCTCAACTTCTTCACTGGAGCACCACCTCTGGTGTAGTTGGATCCACCGTAGCTGCTACCTCTCTTCTTCTCAGCAGCCTTGCTTTTCTCCATCTTCTTCAATTCAGCCTCATCATGAATCTCCTTGATGGTCTTTGGACCAGCCTCTTGCTTGAGAGACTTCCAGTTGCTCTTCTTCAAGTCCTGCAAGTCCATCAACATGAACTTGATTCTCGATGAAAGCTTGCAGCTGTCCAAAATACTCTGGACATTGTCGAAAACCATGTTCAACGCAGCCTTGTTTCTCTGGCATGCTTCGAACCTTGGGCCAACAGTCTTGATCAACTGGGCCAAGTTCTCCAATGAGTCTTCTGATGGGTCGGTGACATTCTTGGACTGGTCTCTCAAGCAATGCAAAATAACCTTGTCGTTCAACAAGTTCGAAATGTACAAGTTACCAATAAACTTGAGCAAACCAAGACCTCTTCTCTTGGCAGCAGCCATGGCGTAGTACTCGTCAGACATCATCTCTGGCTCCAAAGCTGAACCGTCTGGGTTGGTAGGGAGCTTGTCAACCCAGCCCTTTTCGTACTCAGTCTGACAAGTACGCAACAAGAGTCTTCTGGCAAGAGCACCACCAACAGTAGGTTCACCAGTCTTGGTAGGCATACCAACATCCTTGATGTCATCAGGGATATCCTTCACCATCTTTGCACAGAACTTGGAGTAGACAGTCGACCAGTGTGGCTCGTCACAGGCCTTGGCAAATGTCAAAGAGATAACCTGTTTAAGGGTAGCAGCATCCTCTTCGTGACAGGACTGCTTGGCAATGTCCAACATCTGGTTGGAAACTGGCTCGAACATCTCTAATGTCAACTTGTTCAATGCAGATTTGACCTTTCTCTCCACATCCTCCTTGTCAAGAAGAACAGTGCCATCAGGAGCAGTCTTGACCTGGGTGGTCTTCTGTCTAGATCTAGGAACCCATCTGTTGGCAGAAGGAACCAATGGCTTGACATCTTCAACAGGCTTAGCGGTGGTCTCCTCCTTCTCCTCTGGGACCTTCAAAGAGCTTTCCTTTGGGGTTTCCACCTTAGGAGTTCTTCTCTCAAACTTGTAGGTCTTTCTGCCTTGAGTGTTGTCATGGCGAGGACCACTTGGGATGGACTCCTTGGTGGCCACCATACCCAATCCCTCAAGCTTCTTCTTCCAAGCGTCATCAGCTGGATATACAACTGACTCCTGGAACTGAAGCAAAAACTGCGTGTCGTATCTATGCTTCTTCTCACCAGCCTTCAATCTAGCATCAACACCAGCCTGTGGGTATGGGTAAGGGAAAGTGAAAGGATCCTCAATGGTCTTACACTTGGACAATCTGTCGAAGAAAGAAGAAAGGTCAACTGCCTTCTCCATAGACTCATCTTCACCAGTAGTCTCTTCAACCTTTTCTTCGACAGTGTCGTTCTGCTCAGTAGGAGCAGCATTGGAGACAGCCTCGGTTGGGTCAGTCTCAGTGGTATCTGGGACACCAATAATCTCCACAATTGGAGCCTCAATTGGGGCCTCAACTGGAAGAGCTTCAGCTACTGGCTCAACAGCTGTTGGTTCAGTAACTGGGGTCTTCTCCTCTGGCACCACTTCGGGGGCTTCAGTCTTTGCAGGCTCCTCGGGAGCTGCAGTAACAGCAATAGCAGCTTCGACTGCCTCGATAACCTTGGCAACCTTTGCTGGATTGACTGCCTTGACTGCCTTGGCAGACAGTGCCTTTTTTACTTTAGCCTCCTGTTCCTTCTTCTTCTTATACTCTCTAGCCTTTTCGTGGATTTTCCTCTTGAATTCCTCAACCGCTGGCGTCTTCTTCGCGGCCAAAGCAGCTGGAACAAAGGAAATCTTCGTTTTCAGCTCAGAAACCGGAATTTTCTCAGAAGAGGAATGGCTGTAGTAGTACTTCTGGTCAGAAGAGTAGTAGGTGGTGCCTGGGGTAAGGGCGTCAGCAGACGGGTTGTACAGCGGATAGAAGTTGTACATGTTTGCTGGGCCTTGGTAAGTATCGAACTGAATCAGCTCGGTCATTGTTATCTAGTAGTTGTTTTACTTAGTAGAGCTCGTTGGTCGATAGTAATCGAGTAGTAGTCAAGCGGTGGTTGACTGGTGGTATAAGCTCAGGTAGGTTCTCTCTCTTTCAGTTGCTGAAGGATAAAGAACAAGAAAAAAGTGGTAGGGAAGAAAACAGGATAGAGGGAAAAAGGCCAGGTATTTATATTCAAAAAGTGGGAAAACTGGGAAGCTCTGGGGAAAGTGGTAAATTGGTATAAGTTGGGAAGCTTCAAAAGAGTAAGTCCAGTGTGCGCATATATTATGGAGGAGGAGAACGTCCAGTAAAAGAACGTATTCTCACTCAATTGCAATAAAAATTGACTTTTTGGAAACGGCGAGGAAAGAGAATCTCTTTAGGTTTCTTTAGATACCCATAAGTGTGGGTTTTTGGGCATTCCTAATGGCTGCAAAATGGACTTTTCTGTCCCTGCGTCTTTGTGTCGCAGGGGCCGCTTACATAAGCACTTACATAAGCAGAAAACCAGAAAAGGAAACTATAGAGATATCGGCTCTAAAAAGTAGAAAGTACAAAGACACATAAGTTACGAGCGGAGGTCATTGTCCGACGGTGGTTGGAAAACCTTCCATATTTCGAAAGGTTATGGCAGACGTGACCATTACATCGAAGGGGGGGTCATCCATGGTTCTAAGATACAGTGATAAGTGGTATTTATGGCAGCTGGAGCTTCGCCTTGTTCTTTCACTTTATATACGTTGTGAGAAGCCGTACAGGGACTGGTAATATTGTAGCTGGTGGGCTTTTGGGGTAAGTATATTGGTGTGTCCCAGTGGACCTTCCCTGTTTTCTCTTTATGGAACAAAAAGGAACATTCTTTCTTCAGAAGCTCTCTGCTTTCCGTTTGGGTGGGCTGGTGTCATACGGAATGCCTTATGGGAGAAATTTGCACTATTTATTTCCCGTCGAGTCGAGTGTTGTGGACTTTTTTTTTCTACAACTCGCTTTTTCACTGTAATGGCCCTCTTCAAGTAGCTATTGTAGCTATTGTAGCTGGGTTAGTTTTGTCTCTTCGTCTAAGTATGACGAAACCCATTGTAGCGCTTAACACGTAGTCTTATCTTCTTACACACTTAAGATGTAGAGTAGGAGCCAAGTAGGAGCCGAGTAGGAGTGGAGTAGGAGTTGAGTAGGAGTAGAGTAGCTTAGGAAAAACGGATATAGTCAATATACACATTTAGAAAGTTCTTCAGTAGTAGACGGTTGTCGTGTGAATGCTTCTAGTACTCGTGTAATAAAGGCACCTTTCTTCTTCATAAACCTGCTTGCTGACTTCTTTTCAATAAATCTGTCCTAAACATCCCGCTTTCTTACTCATTTCCTCAAATCGCTCTTCCCCTATTTCTTGGTGAGTTACGCATCGCACAGCATAACCAGAGAACTGCCCAAAATCGAACCCACCGTTTCTACCTGCTCTAAAGAAGCTTTACAGATTTAGACTATATCTTGCAGATATTATTTAGTATTTTTGAGCATTATTTTGAATTATTATGGTACATCTTCAATTTGGATTAGCTGGAAATCTGGGGTATGTCTGTAGTTTAAACGCGTTTTTCTCAAATGGTAGCAAAATCAACAAACTTAAACACACTGTTAAAAATCAAAAACAGGGTTAAAAATGAGGCGAGAGTCATATTAAAGCTCCTTAGTGCTCCTACTAAAGAAATCTAAGTTTTTTGCCCAAAATCATTGCCTGTGTGGGCTTTAAGGGGTATTTTGGAGGATCTGCCATAATCGAAGACGCGTCGCATGCTTAGAAAGTAGTCTTCTGATTGAAGAGCACCTGTAAACAGAGGAAAGTGAGGCTTTTCTGATACATTTGCTTCCTTTTCATCATTAGATCTCCTTTACTCCGTCAATGCTTCTCGTTGTTCTGCTACCACATCCTGCCTTCTCGCAACTCTTCTCGCTGAGAGTGAACTACATCAAACTGATGATCAAAGTGCCCATTGTGAAGCTAACCTTGCAAGCTGTTGTCAAATGTAAGCTAAAATACTGATGTTTCAGGTGTCTAATATCAGAGATCTGACTAAAGCCTTATCATCATGAGGGCTATACTATAATACAACAAAGAGCGCACAGCTAAACCTACGTTGAAAACCTATTATAAAGTATTGCAACCTCTTTCAAGGTCTGACTTTCAAGAGAGAAGCAGCCAGATAAAAAATATTGAAGGGTCCTTACTTTGGTTGTCTTCGTTACTCCATATTCCGATCTCGGCAATTGGCCGATTTCATTACCATTGAGTCATAAGTAGCCCAATGATGAAGTAACAGTTGTGTTCACTCCCACCCTTTCTTGCCGTCATAAAATGACAATCTTCATCAATGAAAGCAAATGACAAGGACCGATGACTCATGGATACTACTACTGCTCATTTGTTCATAAGCTTAAATGTGTCGCAAAACAGTCATTGCGAACCCCATACAACTAAATTGCAACAATGTAAATGAAATGCTCTTCTTACGCCGACCCAAAACACCAAGCAAAGCTTGAACAACCTAATTTATTCTTCCAATTTCTTTACATACGCTTGGCTTTGTTCGTGGACTTGGTGAGACAAAGTAGCTGAATGGCCATATACCCTAGCGGACGCGATCTTCTTGGCACAACACTATATAAGCGGCTGCATTGCTGGGCACTGTCTTTTTACATATAAAAGACATCAATGTATCGATAACTGGATACCTTTGCAGTATTCCACACACAAGATGAAATGGTCCATAGTTTTGCTAATGGCGGCGCTTATAGCAGGTGCGAGAAGTCTGAATGCATCTGACGAGGAAGCCAGCACTGGTCAGACTTCTCAAACTAATCTGATAAACACAAATCCATACGAGGACGAGTCACCAGCTCCTCCTTTATCTGGCTATAATGACGATGGAAGCTTACGAGAACAGCTTTTCGAGTTCAGGGACGCAGTTGAAAGATGTAATCGCTTGTGCAACACCTCGTATGTTTGCAAGTTAAATGCACAGAATGGCCTCACCTTGTAAAACAGAAAGAACGAGAACACTGTGAGTGAACGAGAGAAGAAGCAAACTTGCTTGGGCCGCTGTGTGGTACTGATTTCTCAACAAACCTTTGGGGTTATTGTTGATCCAAGATTGTCTGATAACCTCGGTCCAGACGAAGAAGACATCAATGAAGATTCCGTTAGAAGAAGAGGTGAATACTTGCACGATTATGAGAATCTGGTTGAGTACTTGGAAGTCAAAGAAATGATGGAAGCCGAGCAATTGGCAAACCCAGAACCAGAAGATCCGGTTGACGTGTCCCAACAACGACGTCTTGTTCCTTTCGCCGACTGGCTAGAAATGCGTTCCATATCGGAGGATTGAAGGATTCTATGGCTCAAGAGCTGGCATCAAGATTCATAGAGGCTACCTACTTGCCCCTTGTTGGAATAGCTGTAGTTGGAACCCAGGTTCAGGTATCCCTTGCAACGTTTTGAGAGCCTCTGGGCTAAGTACAGCCAAGAATGTTTCAATCGATGAGCCTATTGATGAAAGCACCTTCATATCTAAGATGAGGGAATGCTCAAGTTCGACTTATGAGTGCTTTTCGTGGACTCTTTGTTAGACGTGGATCAGAAGGACACTCCACCGGAGCAGAGTGCTTGACTAGGGCGTACATTCAAACAAAGAGGGAGTTCTTTTGAACCTCCACAAAAAGCTTTCGGCAGCAGATTCAAATACGGCACTCGACACGGTTACATGGTGCATGCCCAGCCCTGGCTCGACCCAGACGGTGAAGCTAATGGGATGCTAATGACAACCTTTAGAATCGAAATACATACTCTGTTTAATGAATAGACGCCATTACGCTCTACACCATTTCTCTAATCGCAATACATAAAACGCTTATCCTGTCCTCAAAAACAGATTCCCATAACCTACCCTAACGGTAAGCTGACCTCTCGCCACCATCTCCAACCCTAAATCCATACCCAGAACCACCCAACAAGTACCAGACACATCCACCAACTTACCAAATACATCCCTTGTCTCACTCCCCATAACCTGTAATTAATGCTCAATGAGGAATATCTGCCGATAAGCTCTGCACACTTTTAGGGTTTGTTTACATTCCCCTGCATCAGCGTATGATTAGCGAATGCACGAAGCTGTCACACATAAGCCACCCCAGGACTATTTCAAGCACACAGACAGTTAATGGACCGAAAACCCAGCTTCCCTTTAATTTATAGTACCCAATAGAAGGGAACATCCCTTTGGACCCTCCCTCGTTGAGTTACCGCCCTTAGATAATTATTATTTGGAGGCTGTGGCCTGCATGGAGCCTCACCAGCTACTACTCATAGAGCGAGGGTTTCCAGTAATTCCCACTTTTTACCCACCACTACTACAAAAATGGCTTTCAAGATACGATCGAATTTTAAGAAACAAAACGTCTCACCAAAGACGACCAAGCCCAAAAACGTTACTTTTGACCCTCCCGCCGCAGAGAAGGTCCCAATAAGCGATATGTACGCTTTCTCTCGTGAACAAGCTCGCAACAAGAATAAGGCGCCAAATGACACCACACCGTCCGATTGGGTCACTCCAAAGAAGGTGGCGAGTGTCGGCCGCATGGCCGGAGGCAAGCAGACCTCTTCCAAGGCTCCTGCTGCTTCCAAAGGTCCAAAGAACCAGTTCGAGTGCTTATCACCTTCAGAGAACACAAAGAGAAAGAGGAGTTCCCACCGCAAGAACAAACCACTTTTAACCGCCAATGCTCATCCTGATGCCAAGGCGGCTGCCCAGCATGCTTACGGCGCCCACAGCAACAAAAAAGAAGCACCTGCTGTTGCTCCTTTCAAGGCAAAGCTTCACATTATCTGCCCTAAGCATGCAAAGGAAGCCCAGGAGGCCCAGAAGGTTCCCAAACAGGCGCCAAAATACTCAGAAGTAGCCGCCGGCAAAGCTACCACTAAGCCACCTTCCTCCAAGGCTCCAAT